GGCTCCGCGCGGGCCAGCGTGGAGAGCAGCGGACCCCGCCGGCCATCCCCACCAGCTCCGCCCGCATAGCCAGCTGCGGCTCCGCTGCTTTGTAATTCACAAGAGGGACTCCGAATCGCACTTCGTAATTTGGTGTCGGTTTACAAGCCAAAAGGACTTCGGTTTCCTCACCTCACCAGGTCCTCAGTCACGGCCTGACCCCTTTTAAGAGAGGGACCTCAAGAGGGGAGCTGGATTCCGCGCGCCCTCGCCTTTCAGTCAAGCTTGCGAAGCGCGCGCCGGCTGGGCCCTCCCCGGGCTGCACCCACCACGGATCCATCCAGCTCTTACCACGTGAAGACGCTCCATCCGCTTTATTATCGCGTCTTCACTACAAGCCGGGCCCAGGAAGTAATTGACCAAGGTCACGTAGCCAAAGGACAGCCGGCTGACTCCTATTCCCTCTGAATATTTAGTCTAATAAACACTTTGAGCAGCTGTAGATTCCTTTCACAATCTCATCAAGGCCACGACCCCCCACCAAATATGCACGTATTTTTGCATTCACAGTCGGAGCTTCTCGGACATCCTGAAGTTCGTTCCAGGATGAAGACCCCACCCCCAGCCCCGTCCTCACACTTCCCAGCAGTCGAGGGGATCGCGATTTCCTTGGAAGCATTCCGGGCCGAGGGAGGGAGTGTAATTCAACTGGATTATGATCACAGCTGCCCGTCCCCAAGTGCAGCAGATGGGTGTGCAGGGTGGGTGGGACGAGATGGGACGTTGGAGATGGGCAGGATGTCTGGTGGGAGCGGAGGGGCTGTTGTGCACGTTTTGGCTAGGGATGGAGAGGAAACGATCCCGGCCCATCCACCTGAAACCCGGGGGCCCAGGCCCTCTATGAAGCGCGAACTGGGGCGGGCCCTGTTGTCCCCCTGTCGAGGCGGGAAGACCGGCTGTGCAAGAACTTTCTGCGGGCCCAGTCCCCTCCAGACCAGTCCTCGGTGTCAGCTCCCCTGTCGCCCCGCCTCCCCGTACCGTCACGACCTCCTCCCTCCCCGCCACCTCCTGGTACCGTCGCCCTCGAGCCACCCCTCCCCCCGCCGCCGCGCCCCATGTAGCGTCTTGGCTTCAGCCGGCGGGGTTTCTTGCACACGAATCCCACTTGTTTCCTCCGTACGTAGCACTTTTTATATCTCAAACTAGTTCAAGAGCTGCTCGGCTCCTTGTTTACTTTCAGTTTTGGAGACGGTCGCTTGCACTCCGTTGCCCCTCCTGTTCGCTCCGGGGCCCCTCTCCCCTCAATCTAGTTACCCGAAGCTAGCAAACCTGCTTTCTCGGTTTCGCTTCCTAATATCTAAAATAACTGGTGGTGGGCTAGTGATTGGATCTCCTCGCCACCGCCCTCAGCCATAAAAGCAATACATAAAATAAAAGCTCAGCTGCCAGCCGCGTGCACATGCGGCCAGCGGTGATGGGGCTTGCACTTTACACCCACGTCGCGGGGCAGAAGCGCTGAAATGCCTGTTTGCAAAGCAGCGATGCAGCAAGCAGGGCAAGACGCTGAAAAAGCCAGAATTATTTGATTAAAAAAAGTGCCGAGTCCTGTTACAGGAGGGCTGCTCATACCGCCAGGCACTAAAATCAGAAGAGGTGCGGGGAGAAAACAAAAAAGAAAAAAGAAAAAGAAGAAGAAAAAAACCCACACGCCACAACACCGCAAAACCCACCGTGAGTCTTTCTGGTTGGGAATGAGGGGCTCTGTGAAGTTTCCGAGACTTCAGAGCAGAGGTCGACAAGGTGCTCGCCAGTCCATTGCTCTCCGCGAGGCTCCTACTGAGTGACCCAGTGGTCCTCTCTGAACCTCAGTTTCGTCGTTGAAAAACGAGGGTAAGAACGCATGTCTGCTGCAGTCAAGGATTCAAACGCTCCGACGCCGGTGAAAGCATGTGTTTTGATGAGGATATGCAAAAAAAGGCAAAACTCGTTGGTGGTATTAGGTGGTGCCAAGGGAGGGGCACTGACGGTCTATGTGACCCTTTGTTCTAAGTCCGAGCGCACACCAAGCCCAAGTCACCCTCTGAGACGCCAGAGCGACCCATGAGCTGACAAGAACAAGCAGGACTGTTTCTCTTTCCTTCACTGGGCTTCGTAAGAGGCTCTGGGGAGAAGCACCTGTACGAATAGGAATCACCAGGGAAGAACTTCCCAACATCGCTAAAGACTGCGAATACCTGCCCTCGCCGCCGGTCGCGTCAATTCTACAGTAATTCCCAAACTGCCTTTGTTCTCTCACTTCTCGAGCCAGACTAACTTCGAACGCTCTGATGGGCTCCGAGAAAAGTAACGTTGGAATTAGTTCGGCAATCTTCTCCCTTCAACAAATATTTACTTCTCACCAGGGGGGTCCACGTAGCGCCAGAACTGGAAGGGTCGCGGGGGTGAGAGAGATTTGGGGTGGAGAAGGGAAGCCGAAGGGGAATGGAGCCACCGCGCCGGCAGGCTCAGAGAATATGTACTGCGGGCTCACTATGTGCTCAATACAATGATACTCCATTTTCTAAACTGTCTCCTAAACCAATCCTACTTGACAGGCCTTGGTTATTTACAGGTGCAACTAGAAAAATGTCTATGATATTTTAAATTCAGTTCAAGATATAGAATGCAGCGTTGAATTAGGGAACTAATCCCCCTTTTTCAATATGCTGGAAATTAAGCTTTATTATTAAACATTTTTTTTTGTGAAGGATTTTTGAGGGAGATGGTAGAAACTCCTTTTTCTTGTGAAATACATGCATGTACATTAAAAAGCAGTTTAAAAAAAAAAAAGTTGAGTTTGAATGCATGCTTAGAGTGAATGTATTGTACCTAAATATTTTAATGACAGATTTCCGTTCTCTCCCAAATTAACTGCAATTTCCAAAGCAGAGAAATGAAAATGACTTGCAGTTGACATGGCCACCTGCCACATGGGGTCGGTGAAGGTTCATGAGGACTATTTTGCACTTTGAGGGTACGCAACGCTAGCCACAAAGATGTCTACAGGTCATTTGTATGCTAACTAGCCGCCAGGGTGCAAGGTAAACAGCGAGTTCCTCTTGCCGGCGAAAGGAAGCCGCTGGGCGCCCATTAGAGAGTCCTCACTTCTACGTCCAATTTCGTATTAATGATTGAGTCGCACAATACTGGTGATGCTGATAGCGTGGAGACTTACAGCAGCCTTTCTAATCCCCGCCTCGTCGTTTATTGCCTTCTGGCGTGGACAGCGCGATTCCTAAGAGGGTGTCTCTGCTTGTTTCCTAGTCCGCGAGGTAAGTGACGACTGCTCCTCCGTGGGCCCCGTCACCCTTCTGTTTAGCTTCTGGAACCGCGCGACCCGGTTGCACCGAAGGCCCCGCGGGCGGACGCTGGCGGAGCGCGGCGGGGTGGAGCGTGCCGACCGCGGGGAGGCGGAGGGCGCCGAGCCAGCGTGCCTCGGCCAATCAGCGTACACACCGCCTGACAACCGGCCAATCAGAGGGCGGAAAGCTCTGGGCCCCGAGCGGATAATACTAGGCGGGGAGCAGCGCCTGGAGACTGCAGCGAGTGGCGCTGCGCGGAACGCAGCTGCGTTCGCCCGCCCCGTGAGCCCGCGAGCTGAGCCAGGCCGGGGCGGCCCGACCTCTCCTGCCCAGTTTGGGTTAGAGGAAGCCGGAAGCGGCCTCAGCAAGGTGAACCGCGCGAGGCTGCAGAGGACCGATCAGAACGTTGCAGAGTTTGGGATGTGCCGGGCCAGGTCGCTGAGGACTTGACTCACCTCTTCTCCCCTCCCTTTCCCTCCGCCTCCTCCCGCCTCCCACCGTCCAGTGGGCTTGTTCCGGGCCTCCAGCTGTCAGGCCCCGATTTCGTGCCTGGGAGTGGCAACCCCGATTTCTGTTTGCGTGCACAGCCAGCAGCCCGAGGACCAGATCCTAAAGCTGGATATCTTTTGACTCGGCTGCTAGTCCGGACCTCAAAGTCCTGGTGAGTGCTGTGATGCCGCTGGGGTGTCAGGGAGGGCAAAGGGCGCGGATCTTCTTCCTTATCTTTTATGTCGTCTTTGGATGCCTTACCGTAAAGATGTCAAACCAAACCCTAATGTACCTGGGCGGCCCGATGACTGTTGATGCTTGTCAGACATCTGCAGCGTTGTACCCACTGTCCCTGTGGGACTTTCATGACAAAACTTTGGTTTTCAGTGGATCATTTTGGGGAGGAAGCATGAAAAGACCTCTTTAAGCGCAAGGAGGGGTCTTGTGGTGGTGTAGGTTGAAGAGAGGCATTTGGGAAGCATAGAGTGGTACTTCACTGTGTCTGGAGGGCCCTCTGTAATCAAAAGGAAAATAATTCTTGCACGGACATTTTTATATGCATCGTGACCATACTAGTTGGGTATGGGGAAGCCTGACAAGTGCCCTAGGAGGGTCTAATTGAGAATATTATTGTGAGCGCGTGTGTGATCAGTACCCAGGGACTTGTCTGGAAAGCCTGTGTAGTGCCAGAGAGGTCTGCGGTTAAAGGTCAGGTGCTCACAGAGCCCCTCAGACTTAATAAACCCCTTGTGGGGTTGTGGATCCCTGGGGCCCTAGAGATACAAGAAAGGCACGCGCGGCCTGGATGTAAAGGAAATACAGAGAACAGAGCAACCCAAGGAGTGGGAGGCAGTAGGTTTAGGGATGGTCCCTGACTGTGGCCGGTGGGGTTTGGATCTCTTTGTGTCTCCTTAGAGTGCGGGCCGCCGAGCCGAGGCCCGAGCGAGTCCTCAAGCGCCATGGACGACCGGCAGGCTGGCTTGGAGGCGGCGGCCGGGGAATGGGAAATCGACGTCGAGACCCTGGAGCTGGAGGAGGACGGCTGCGGGGCGCCACCGTCGACGCCGCCCGGACCCAGCC